CCATCTTGTTAGTCTTTAAAGTGCTACATAGTCCTGTATTTTTCGTTCCAACGAATAGTTATTCTCACTGATAGATCTTAATTTTTATGATGAGGGAGGTGGAGAAGTTCTTTAGGTCTTCAAAAAAGGGATCTGGAGGATCTTTGGGAAGATGTTTGTGGTGTATCCTGATCCATTTATGACTTTCAACAATCAATGCCTCAGCTCAACACTAAAATTCATCAGAATCTCATATAAAAACAAATAGTAAGAGAAAGTATGATTCAGCCTCCTGGGGATTCATACTTTTCCCTTCATATACACTAGGAGTGTTGTGCATAGTCAGGTAAGATATCCTGGAACATATAGTTTTAGTTTTCTTCGATATTTATGGAAGTTAATTACCTAAATTATGTGAGAGTTTGAGTACCTTACGGATAATATTTGAACAGATACCATACCTCTCTCTATGTCAAGATTAGTCAGACATTCACCATGATGAAAACCTGGCCAAAATTTTAAGAGTAGCACTTGGTTCATATACATAATTCTTCCATTACAAGTGTCTATAATCATTATAATGTCTATAATCATTATTTGGTTTCAGAACTGAAAACACTGCAATTTTCCTATACATAATTCCTCCTCTCAGGCAGCTGCTTCCTCTGAAGCAGATTTACCAAAAGTTAATCCTTAGCTTTATATCCTCTAAAGAATATAAACAACTCATAAGGGAAGTTGCCCTCTTCAACTCCTAATCCCCAGATATCCTTTACATTGTCCTGAGTATTGTAAACTGGATGTACTGCTGAATCTGCAGCTAGACAGACTACAATAATACCATTGAATGAGCTGTCAACTTGCTCAGCATGTCAACCATATGATTTCTGATTGTTGTGCCGGAAACATCCATTTAATGTGCTTATACAGAGGGTCTAGATTGACTTCACATTCAACTGAGTTAAAATATCAGAGTAAGAACACTGTATGGGACACACATTTTTAATATACATATATAGTAGTTTAATGCTCAATTCATCTTTCAGTTAGTTTGATAATTTAAACATTTATCTGTATCCTTAGAAGTTGAGGTAAAAATGGTATTTACAGACTCAGCAGTCCAATTGTGGCATATTTCAGGATTTTCTACAACAGAATATATGTCCCAGCAGCCATAAAAAGGGGGATTTAATTTGACAAAACTACATAATCCTGCATCACAAGCAAAAAATGCTACCAACTAACAGTAGCCTCAATTTCATAATTTGGTGTTTTCACAACTATGCTGTTTGGTGATTTCCATTGTCTGTAATATTTATTTTTTCATTTCTTAAGAAACAAAGCCACAAACACTTATTAATCTAGCTCTACCAATATAAAGAAACAACAGCCACTTCACCATCTGACCCACAATTTACCTCTTAATAGATGTTTCATCCAACCATTGACAGGGAGATTATACCCTTTCTTTGGAGGTAGCAAACAACTAAATAAAAGACGCATGCACCCACATACTATATTATATAAAAAAGGGGGGAAACACGTAGTTCTGACTTATGTTTGGAACAATTAACTAAAAGTTAAGACTTTCAGAAGGGTAGCTGAGTTAGTCTGTAACAGGAAAAACTTAAAAAACAGCAAATAGTCTAGTACAGTGATCTCCAACGCAGTGCCCGTGGACGCCATGGCGCCCGCCAGGAGTAGCTAGGAACTGCAGTTGGGCCTGGAGTGGAATTGCAGCCTGGAGCAGGGCTGCTGCCAGGAGCAGGGCCAGTGCTTCATTTGGGGCCATGCTCAGTTCTGGGCATAGAGCCATGGGCAGAAGCAGGGCAACAGTCAGGGTTGGGGCTGGTGACAGAGCTGCAGCTGGGATCGCAGCCAGGAGTGGGACCAGGTTGGGCTGGGTCCCGAGCTGCAGCATATCCACCGTTGGGGACCACTGGTCTAAACAGAATCTTGGGAACCTCAGTGATTCCCTTTCAGGCAGGTTTTTTGGGCTGAGTTCCCTTCTGATGATATTCACAGGAGGATTTGTGTCATCTATACTTCCTTTTCTAGAAATGTATTAAGCCATCCAAGTTTTTTCCCCACCAAAAAGCCTTTCACAAACACAAACCCTACTGAACCAGAACATGCCTTCTTAGTCTGAAACCAGTTTCCAACTGAACTCTGCTAGTGGGTTGAGCCTCCAAAATGTGCATTCTTTGTGGTCTAGGAAGATGGGCACAATGTCACCATTCAGCATTCCTAAGCATATGGATGAAATACTAACAAAACATGTAGATGGTAGCATCAGCTTTGTGGGTATAACCCACTTCATTCAGCCTGATGGAGTGGAAAGGCACAGTGGTAGATGTAATTCATTAAAAGGGCAATTTCATTCTTCAGCCCTACACCACACACAAAGGCAAGACATGCATGCTTTTAGAAGATAGATGAAGGCAGTCAGCCAATGGAGCTAGAAGAATAGACTCCATTATCACGATTGACACTCCTGGAGTAGATGAAGAATCCTGTGTCTTATTTTGTTCAGGAGACAAAGAATCATGTAATGAAATTAGAGACATCGCAATTATCGTCTCATTATTTTTTCCTTGTGACTCACTCTATGAGGTAATTACACGTAGTTTAATAGCAACAATCTGAATTGAAGGAGGCCAGGTGACCCCCATAGGTCTTGTAATAATTCTTTCCTCTAAATGCTTAGTTTCTTTTTCCCTGATTGAAAGAATGGAATGTATTTCCATCTCTGTGGAGACTTGAGAATCAACTTTTATTATCCTGCTTTAGCTTTCTTGGCTCTCTCTCAAACACTGTCCTTCCAACTGAAAACTGCCTTTTAGTTGGATGTATAGGTCTCTATCAAGTGACAGCAGTAACACCTTGTCTCTAGGAGCTACATGCCTCTGTCATCACAGGCATGTAGATTAGGCTACCAGGCATAGAAAAATGAAGCGGCGATTTAAATAATCGCCGCTTCATTTAAATGTACATGACTGCCATGCTGAGCCGATCAGCTGTTTGTCGGCTCAGCGCGGTAGTCTGGATGCTGCCGGGTGGGTCCCGCAGCGCTGCCCTCTCCCAAGCTGCGCAATTCACCGCCAACCTCCACCCCCACCCCCGACCTCTCATAACCCCCCTTCCAGTACTTCGGCATATCTGATAATCCGGCACCCCTTGAGTCCTAAAGGTGCCAGATTATCAGAAGTTTACTGTACATGTTTTTTTAGTCTCTAAGGTGCTACTTGACTATTTGTTGGTTTTTAAGTTTTTCCTGTTAAGACTTTGTAAGTTTATTTCAGGATTCTCAAAGTCAGATGAGAGTCAATTTAGGGCTTCTCCATACCAACAGTCAGTCCATGGCAAGCTGGGGTATAAATCTACCCTGAACTAGCCTGCAATGCTCTAACTGTACACGTGTGCACCCTTCTGAAACAAGACTATAATGCACATCAGCTGGGTGTACATGAACAGTGTTAGAGCATGGCTTGCTAGTAAAAGGTAGATTGTAGCACCAGCTTTCTGTAGTCTAATTCTGCATGCAGACAAACCCTTTATAAAGTACTTTATAGTTATAACAATTTTGAAACAAAATTATGGCCTTGTAATTTAACAGTTTTTCCTTATGATCCCTAAAATAAAATATTTCTAATAGAAGTTTTACAATACCAATATTGCCAATTCTTGCCATTTTGTTGATTACTGCAGCTTATACAGGCTTTAGCCATGGACCAGGACTCCACTGGACTAGGTGCTGTAACAATACAAAACCCCCCAAAAGATGGTCTTAAAAAGCCTGCCTTTTGGGGGCAGCTGATTCTCCAATCTCTCATTTTTAATGATCTCTGTAAAATAATTCCAAATTTAAAAAAAGGGAGGGGGGGAATACAGAATAAGACAGAGAATATCTCATTGCTGCTATATACATCCATGGCATGCCCACATCTTCAATTCTGTGTACAGATGAGGTCACCTCATTTCAAAAAAGATATATTGGCACTGGAAAAGGTTCAGAAAATTAAAAAGACTTAGACTCCTCTTTTCTAAGATGAAAAGTCTAAGGGGAGGGATATGATAGAGGGCTTTAAAATCATAACTGGTATGGAGAAAGTGAAAAAGGAAAATGTATTTACTTGATCCCTTAAGATAAGAACTAGGGGTCACCAAATTAAATTAATAGATAGCAGTTTAAAACAAACAAAAGAAAAGTTTGTCTTCATAAAGCACACAGTCAACCTGTGGAACTCCTTGTCAGAGGATATTGTAAAGACCAGGACTTTAAGAGGGTTCAAAAAAGAACTAGATAAATTCATTGAGGTTAGGTCCATCAATACTTAATAGCCAGAATGGGTAGGAATGGTGTCTCTAGCCTATGTTTGTCAGGAGCTGGAAATGGATGACAGGAGAAGGATCACTTGATGGTTACCTGTTTCTGTTCACTCTCTCTGGGGCATCTGGCATTGGCTACTGTGGGAAGACAGGATACTGGGCTAGACTGAACTTTGGTCTGATCCAGTATGGCTATTTTTATGTTCTTAACTAGACCTATAAATAGATTGTATAATATGTGTTCATGGGAATTTGTTGCTGCAATGATCTGCATGAAAAGATTAGGACTCTGATGTATGCTTGAGTTTATATTTTAGATTTCCCTTAGGATAGAAGTGTAATTTTTTCCCTAAGGTGAAGTAATTATCATACAAAATAGAATATACAAATGAATTGCTATCCATATAAGGACAAAACCTCTGAAGATGACATTTGCTATACGTCATGCTATTGGTTCATTAATTCATAAAGAATTTTGCTTATTATTGCAGGCAAGTTCTTTTGAAAAAAATTGCAAGTCTCTCAACTGTGCAAACAGTTATTGACTATTTAATCCCATAGAACCGAGTAGTGACTCAGCTCTGTATTGTATTCAACAAAAGAAATAATTCTCCTGCTAAAAGCAACCTGTCTCTGGAGATGATGAAACAAATCACAGTTTATTATCCTGCCCTCAAAAATGAATCAGTTACCTGGTTATTAATTTTAACTGATGATCAATCTCTTGAAGTTTAGTCCAATACTCATCTGCAAATTTATGGAATTCGCTAAGGACTGAAGACTTCAAATCGGGGTACGGGCATTCCAAGGCCAGTAACTGTGTAGGAACTTCATGAAAAAGTCCAGTTTTCTCTTCAAAAGAGTATGTTAGCAGCTGTAAAGAAAAAAATCAGTCATCAGTGGTCTAATAAATTATTCCACAAAATTAAAAAATGTAATTAATTTGGAAATGTGACCACTCACTTACTTTAGCCTTACAATCTTCAAGCTCTTGTTCCAAAGCCAATTTTTCTTGGTTAAGCAATTCTAAATTTGTTTTCTGTTGTTCCTTCACAAAGTTTACCTGGTTTTATGAAATATTAACAGTTAAGATTGATAGTCTTCATATCAAAACTCTTATGTAGAAAAAAAGCCTGATATTTTTTCTACCATATACCAATTTTACACGGATGTAACATTTCATTAATCCAGATTTAAGATAGTGTAAGTATGGGGGTTACCAAGTGTATTGAGATTGATTATAGCCTTAAAAATGAATAACATTTTCTGACAAAATAATGCAACATTTTCTGACAAAATAATATGCATCAAGGTTACATTTCACACATCTTTTAAAACTCTTTGAAACTTTTGTTCCTCTCTCCCCCAAAAAGAAATTCTAAAATTTGAAACAACAGTAAACTACAAAAGTGAATTTACTAACCTGCTGTAACACCTTGACTGGAGTGAACTTAGATTCCATGCAAGAATTTGTTGAAGGGTAATACTGCATTTCAGACAGCCTATATTTCAAATCTTTCCTCAGTTGCCAGATGGGTTCTACAGTATTTGTTTGATATGTGTCCCGTTCCTTTGATAATTTATATGCTATAGTCAATTAAACAGAAAGGTTTCTCAAAAAAGACAAGTATTACTACATTATTCAGTAATTTATTTTTATCTAAAATGATGCACATATTTGATTTCAAAATCCACACTTCAATTAATCAAGGAATCACATAAAAATTCTTACCCAAGTCCCACATATCCAGAAGAAATTCCCTTTCCAGGCTAACTTCATCAAGGAAAGTTTGTATTTCTGCTTCCACTTTATGCCTGAAATGTATTTGAACTTATGCAAAAACTTCAATGTCTTACTTATGTAAATAAAAATGGAAAAAACCACCACAACAATAAATTAATATTATAACTGAAATGGGGGAAGACTCTGAATAGAAGGACACTAAGGGTGCATCTGCAGAGCACCCTAAAGTCAAAATGTTGTGTATCTTATTTTGATTCTATTTCAAAATTGCTTACTTCGAAATCTGGCAAGTCTATATAGCACCAAATTTTGAAATAATGACCTATTTTGAGAAAATCCCTTAACCCTCATGGAACAAGGGTTGCAGGGATGCTGAAATAGCACACCCATTATTTCAAAAAATGCTTCAAAATAACAGGTGGCTCCCGAAACAGGTGGTATCCCGAAATAGCCATGAAGTGTAGACATACCCTAGGTGGATTGATGCGGAGACTAGGCAAGTCAGCAGAACACAAGATCTATATCATGTCCTTTAGCACCATACATATTCCAAAGAAAAGACCACCTTCTTTTTGGATTCTCCTCTGTGGTGACAATCCCTGGACACAGCCCCATCAAGAAGGGGCTGTGCTGTTAGTGAGTGATGGGAGCAAGCCCTGAGAACACAGAACTGGGGAGGAGGCATGTCTCCATGCAGATGGCATGGCATCTTCCACTGATTTCCTAGAGACCACAATAAGGCCCATTCATCATTCAGTGAAAGTTCTAGCAACCTTGCTAGCCAAAAACTGAAAATATTCTTACACTTGCACTTGCCAAAGACAAACTTTTTTTGTTCAGGGTGGGGGGAGAATCACCCATGAATGACAAAAGTTTTGTCAGTCAACTGCAAGTGTAGACAAAGCCTCAGATTAGATGTGAGTAGTTACGATCTCCCACTCTTAAAATACTCTACTGCAATTTGATTACTTTATCTTTTCCTTTCAGTCAAGCAGTGCATAACAAAATTTTTACTACTCATTTATTTCTTTTATAATCTGTAAGAATCAGCAGTTCTTACGTGTTCTCACTTACCTGTTCTCACTCAGTTGTTTATGTTCTTGCCACCATATCTGGTGATGCTGTTTCAGTAGCATTTGTTCTTTATTAGTTTTTGAGGCTTGCTCTACTTTTTTAACCTATGTGAAAAAGCAAAAAGGAAAAAAATCTTTCTAATATTGAACTTAGTTTTATATATTTACAAAATGGCATTCCCAAACCTTTATGAACCTGTATGCCTCTGAGAGCACATCTTTGTGAGGAACAGAGCTGACTGAAAATTTCAAACACATTTTTCTTATAATAATAGCTTTGAAAATTTTCATAAAGGGCTTTTCTTTAGTTTTCCCTTTTTTGGGCTGAAAATTAAACAAAGGAAAAGAAAAAAAAACCCCAAAAACAAACCTTTCAAAAATTATTGCCCCTCCCAAACTTTCAACCTTTCTGCTCCCACTTCTTTTATTCAGTGGCAAAATGAAAAAAAAAAGGTAGGTAACGGGGAGAAATAAAGAAAGCAATAAAGAGGAAAACGGGAAGTTAACACATACTCCCAGCAAATGTAAATATATATTTTTAAAGCTGAAAATATTCAAAGAATTTTGATGAATGAAAAAAATGTCTATGTGAAATATATAGAAAAAAGTGAAATATTTCAAATTTTTCATAAAAAAATTCCACTCTTCAATCAACTCAAGTGAGAAACAACATTTTGATCTAAATTTAGAAATTGCTCCTACTTCCTAGTAAGGGTACGGCTAGACTGCGTGGGTTTTTCGGGATACCAGAGGATATCTCTGGTATCCCGAAAAACCTCCGCCTCATCCAGGGAATGCGTTTGTTCTTCCGCTTTTTTTGGCGGAAGAGCAAACACTCTCTTCCGGAAGCCCTTGTATTCCTCATTCTAAGAGGAAGAAGGGGGCTACGGAAAGAGGGGTTTTCTTCTGACATTTGGCTCAGTCTAGACGGGCCAAATATCAGAAAAGCCTCTTCCAACAAAAGAATTGAAAAAAAAGTACACAAAATGTTCCTACAAAAAGTGATAGTCTAGTTGTATTTAAATATCCCATGCCTAATTTGCATTAAAATGGCCACCGTGTATTGCCAACTCAGCACTTTGTCAGCAAAAAGCGGCAGTCTAGCGGGGGATCTGTCAAGAAAGAAAGCCTTTTTCGACAGATCCTGTAAAGCTCCTTGCAGGAGGCATAAAGGATCTGTTGAAAAAGACTTTCTTTCTTGACAGATCCTCCTCTAGACTGCCGCTTTTTGCCGACAAAGTGCTGAGTTGGCAATACACGGTGGCCATTTTAATGCAAATTAGGCATGGGATATTTAAATTCCTGCCTCATTTGCAATGTCAACCTGCCTAATCTGCATCCCTCTGCTGACAGAGGGATGCAGTCTAGACATACCCTAAGAGACTAACAATAACTGTGCCAGGAACAGTCCATGGAAGGAAATACCACTTCTGGTGTCACAGTTCCCTCCCTTGATCTAGATGGGCTTTATCTGCTACTATCAAGGGTTTTAGTTCAGCAATGCTGGCTGTTAAGAATGAAGTAGGTGGAACTCTACCCATTACACCCACTTAGAAGCCACTGGGATTAGTGGGAGAAATAAAAGTTCTAAAAGTCCCTCTTCCCCAGGGCACACTGGACCAATTATATAAGTAGTTTATATGAGGGAAGAAGGCGGCAATTTATAACTGCTTGTGCCAGACAAAGTGATCATTTTGCTCTTTATTAACTAGCATACATTTTTATCCATCAAGGAACAAAAATAAAAACCCATTTTAAAACTAAATATTTTCACTTTAACACCACTTTTGAGCATAGAGTCACTTTTAGTTTTCTGTAGGAGGTGAACAAAACCTATAATGCCAGATTGCTGAGCTCAAGCTTACATGTGCGAGCACTTCCCCAAGTAATCTTATTGAAGTAAATGGGGCTACCTGTGAATTGTCTTTACTATGAATAAGAGATTCACAATCTGGCCCAAAAGAAGATTTATAGAATCATAGAACACTAGAACTGGAAGGGACCTCGAGAGGTCGAGTCCAGTCCTCTAACCTCACGGCAAGACCCAGTACCGTCTAGACCATCCCAGATAGAGGTCTATCTAAACTGCTGTTAAATATCTCCAGAGATGAAGATTCCACAACCTCCCTAGGCAACTTATTCTAGTGTTTAACCACCCGGATAGTTAGGAAGTTTTTCCTAATGTCCAACCTAAGCGTACCTTGCTGCAGTTTAAGCCCATTGCTTCTTGTCCTATCCTCAGAGGCCAAAGAGAACAATTTTTCTTCCTCCTCTTTGTGACACGCTTTTAGATACCTGAAAACCACTGTTATGTCCCCTCTCAAACTTCTCCTTTCCAAACTAAACCAGCCCAATTCTTTCAGTCTTCCTTCCTAGGTCATATTCTCCGTAATCATTCTTGTTGCTCTTCTCAGGACCTTCTCCAATTTTTCCACATCTTTCTTGAAATTTGGTGCCCAGAACAGGACACAATACTCCAATCGAAGTCTAATTACAGCAGAGTAGAGCGGAAGAATGATTTCTCATGTCTTGTTCAGAACACTCCTGTTAATGCATCCCAGAATCATGTTTGCTTTTTTTGCAACAGCGTCACACTTATTACAGGTCGGACCTCCATAATCTAGAACTCTCTTGTCCAGCAGCTAAGTAATAAATGTAATACGTTAAAGCAGTGGTCTCCAACCTTTTTGAGCACAAGATTGCTTTTTTGAATTTAAGTGCAATCCAAGAGCTACCTGAAATACAAATACCTTTGCCCCACCTTCTTCCCACCCCTTCTCCAAGGCCCCACCCCTGTTTACTCCATCCTCCCTCTTTTGCCCATCCTCACTCACTTTCAACAGGCTGGGGCAGAAGGTTGGGGTGAAGACTCTGGTCTTGGATTAAGGGATCTGGAGTGTGAAAGGGCAGGCAGTTAGTATGTAGGGTGAGGTTCTAGGGATAAGCTCTGGTGTGGCATTTGGATGCAGGGGTGCTCAGGGCTAAGACAAGGATTCGGGATGCAGGAGGGGGTTCATGACAGGGGTAGGAGTTTGGGATGTGGGCTCCAGCTGTACACTGCTGGTGGCTCCTGGTTGCTGGTGCAGTGGGGCTAAAGGCAGGCTCACCCCTACCCTGGCCTACTCCCTAAAGCAGCCAGCAAACTCCATCCCACGTCCTGTTGTGCCCCCTCTCTGCTCTGTGAAGAAAGGATACAGAGTGGGAGAGGGGCACCTGAACATCAGCACCCTTCCTCTCCCTCCCCTGCCTTGCACAGAAAGTAGGAGGTTCCCCAGAGGGTGGAGCAGCTCCAAGTCAAAGGGCAGGAGATGAGCAGCAGTGAGGGGAGGGGCATCTGAAGTGCCAGCACTTGATAGCCTCCTGGCCAAACTAGTCAGGATCACTTGTAAAAGGCTCCAAGATCTACTAGTAGATCCCGATCTACTGGTTGGTGATCACTGCATTAAAGGCTCTTCACTGAAATTCTGATTTGCAATCTATAAGAACTCCTGAATCTTCTAAACAGAACTTTGGATCTGATCCTGCAATCATTAGAAAAAGTTTCCCATTGACTTTTCAGAATTTTGCCCAAATAAGGACTAAGAATCAGGCCTTGAGTTTGCCAAACATAAAAAGGCATGGCCAGGCAAGATATTTCCACATGAGCCCATCCCTCCCATGGCTTCCTCCCAGCCCTTCCTAAGAATTCTATGGAAGATCCTCAAAAAAGGCTAAGATTTATGCAAAGTAGGAGGCGAGGTCTGGACAGATGAAAAGCAGGCCATGTTAGGATGAATGAAATCAGGGGAGACACTGTCCTTAGAAAAAAAAGAACAATATAATCACATTGGACATTACTATTGGAAGGGATTTAGTTTTCTGTGATTTAGTTTTCTTTTGTGCTCTGTGTAACAATAGTCATAACCAGAAAAACTATTACAATGAATAACTGATGTCAGTTTCTTTTGAAATGTGTTACTTTTATTACCTTGATATTTTCACACCACCAGTAATCAGTAAAAACTACCATAAACCAGGAACAGCCTTACTTTTACAAGGAATTATTATTTCTGTGTTTTTCTGTAGCTGACTATGATGCGGTGTCACCGCCCTGCATTGGCGAGCACATTGGCGGGTTCTCTGGAGAGAGACTCTGCCACCATGGCACCTTTGCCGTTCATGATCCCTTGCAGCAGAGCCAAACTGGGCGGCTGCTAGGACCCAGGGGAAGGGCCGGGTGGGCGTAATGACGCTGGACATACCAGGAATGAATGGCCCTGGCATATAAAGTTGGGAGGTATGGGAGGCAAGGCAGGGGGGCGAGGAGAGAAACCCCGAGAAGAGAACCGGGCTTCCTCCTGTCTCTCCCACAGACCCACCCCAGGCCGGAGATTCTGAGAGGGACGCCGAACGCAGACCTCGCACTGAGCCTGGGATTGGTGGTAACGCCACAGAGCAGCAGCCAGAGCAGTTTTCCTGGGGAACCAAGGACTGGGCTCTCCCTGTCAGAGAAGGGGACGCTAAGAACTCTCCTGGGGCTAACGTTGAATTCTGATTCCGAGTAGAGAGTCAGGTGCAGGTGGGAAACACCACCGGCAGGATTGCTGAGCTGGGGTGAAACAGACGTTCTGAAGGGGATGGTCAGACACTAGAGACGCTGGAGGCATGCTACCCACATAAGGAGACTTTGGGCTTGGAAGCCATGAGGGACAAAGGCAAATTGAATTTGGACTATAAGGAGAGTGTCCGTGCACGAGGGGGAATTTGCACAGAGGACAAAGAACCTTACACTGATCTTTAATTAATAACTAGCCAATTAGCCCATCATAAAACAGGATTTTCCTCCATGTCCTAGTCCCTTTCTATCTCGGTCTTCTCTCCTGAGCCTCCAGTCTCTCACTCCGTCTCTGTCTCTCTCTCTCCCCTCCTCCTACTGCCTCCCCCCCTCTCTCTCAGCTCTCCTCCATCTCCTACATCAGCACCCTTCCTCTCCCTCCCCTGCCTTGCACAGAAAGTAGGAGGTTCCCCAGAGGGTGGAGCAGCTCCAAGTCAAAGGGCAGGAGATGAGCAGCAGTGAGGGGAGGGGCATCTGAAGTGCCAGCACTTGATAGCCTCCTGGCCAAACT